TAGTGGTGAGTTTTACGATTGATATAATATAATATTATTAAAATTTTTTTGCACCAAATAAGGTAACCCCTTGACATGCGTACCTCCAACTGACATGATCAGTCAAAGCACCACCCAAGAGAGGGCCTACAACGGAAGCTACACCATAGCATGCACTAATAGTGCCCTGGTATTTTCCCTGATCTTTGGAGCTGACAATATCTGTAATTATAACTAAGGCGAGACTAAAAAGAAAAATTAAAAATAAAACATTTAGCATGCATAAAAATTTGATATAAATGATACGGCAATGATGTACGTACCCAATTATACCATCACCTCCGATACCAGCGATTGCACGGAATATTATCAATGAAACCTAAAAAAACAAAAAAAAAGTGATTAAATTAAGAATTGAGAAAATGAAAATAAAAGATGTTATATTACCATATTTGTAGCAATGCCACATAACAAACTGCCTAATTCAAAGATGATCATTGCAGCTAAGAATGTTGTTTTACGACCAAAAATATCAGATAATTTTCCATAGATTGGTTGAAAGGAAGTCTGTGTCGATAGCATGATGCACGTGAGTGTCACATGATATATAATTTGAATGAAGTGGAATCAATGTATAATATTATTTACCGCTGTGAGTAGATAAGAAGTTGAAACCCATGCGATTTGATCCAATCCATTAAAATCTGAAACTATTCTAGGTAAAGCGGTTGAAACAATTGTTTCATCTAAGTTGGCTAAAAATATGGCACATCCTAGACTATAATGTGGTAAATAAAACTAAATTAATAATTTGATCATATAATTAGCACAACAGGAAATTAATCCCTACGAACCCAAAAACAACCAAATATAATTCAATTCCATGTAATAAAGTACCGTTAGACGATGGCGAGCTATTGTTTGTAACAATCTGCTCATCGACATTTTTTATATTTTTTATGGTTACAGTCATATCTGATACTAACGTTGCTTGACGTACAAGGTCTATTTTATTATTTGATGTGGATTGGTTTTGTGTCATTTTTTTGTAACTGCTAGTTATTATGTATAATGCTATGTGTACTTTGTATGCCTTGTACAATTGAATGAATGCTATACTATAATATTAAATTATTTTTAATAGTAATTTTTTTGTAGAAATTAAACTGGTAAATTTAATTGAAAAAAATTTACAAGGATGAAGTAGAAAAAAAGAATCTATAAGACAATTTACAAGTCGAAAATTCTCTAAAGTCTTTTATAATTTTCTTTTTGATACAAAGGGGTTGGGGTCAAAATCCCGACGAGTCATAATCCTGACAAAAAAATCCCGACAAAAAAATCCCGACAGGTCAAAAATCAGACAGTTAAAAAATCCTAAAATTAAAAATTCTGATAAAAAATGTTATAAACCATAGCTACTCCTAGCATAACCCTTATTTAGAGTAACCTAGCCCTAAAGTAAATTAAATTGTAAGTGTCTATTTCGCTTTAAACATACCCCATATTTTGGTTTTTTTTCTGATTGTCGTGGACTATCGGGATCTTTTTGTCGGGATTATGATCTGTCGGGATTGTATTTATCGGGATTTTGACCGGCACCTGATAAGGATGTACATAGAATGAGACATTGATATAATGCATGGATAAATTTCATTATGAATGACGTTTCTATAGATAATTTGGTTTTTTTGCACACACAACGTAGTTTGTTCATGTTAAATGTTTTTGCGTAGAATAAAGTTTAATTTTATCGATAAATTTGTTGTGCCAATATTGTACTGTAATGAATGTATCACCAAGACTACAGTACTAAACAGAAAAGTTTATTAAATACTTTTGAAATGATTGGCATTTAAAGTTTTATTAATATGAGCATTTATAAGGTAGCAGTTATTTGAACCGGTTTATTCTGTACTCCTTGATTAGAATCGAGAATTTTATACAATCTATTATTGTAATTTAATAATGATGAGATTCAACTAGGAATGGGCAGATCAATCATTTTTTGAATCCACTGCGCAGGCTGCAACCTGGAGCTTTATGCAAGCAGATAGATTAGTATGCCATAAAATTGGCATGACGTGATCTACAAGCCACTCAGACTATATTTCTGTGTTCGGGCTATTAATTTTATACTTATAATTCAGGATCCAAAAGGTTTCAAGCCACTCTGACTAATGTTGTTAGACAAAACCTAAGAGTTTTGTCAATGACAAAAGTCGAAACTAGGTTTTATCTTTTGTCAAAAATTTTTAAAATGACGAAAGGTGACAAAACTGACAAAAGACAAAATTAATAAAAGTAACAAAACTAATAAAAGATAATAAAATTAATAAAAAAATAATAAATAAAATTAATAAAATTAAAAAATATATTTATATATTTATAATAAATTAAATATAAAAAAATTTAAATAGGTCTGTATCACTTCACCAACACTCACTCCACCATGTCATTCATCGACAATCAATTCATCAACCAGTTTATTTCAATGACAATCATTTTACCGACAGTTCATTTCACTGACACATTTGTTTTAAAAATTGCACTAACCTTAAACCGACAATGACCAGAATTACTTTGTCAGTAAAATTACTGTCGGTGAAATAATTAACTTTTCAGTGAATTGATTGTCAGTGGTAGTGATGGTACCCGATCGAAAAAATGCTACCCGGTTATCTGACCGGTATACCCGGCGGGTTATCTGGGTGATCAACAGATATATCCGAGTATAAAATCCTACCGATATACCCGGGTAAGGTTAATTAAATACTTTTACTTTACTAGATAGCTGCGCGACGTTACCGCACAAAACCAGGAACAGAAAACCTAAAACAAGAAAACAGCTAGATAAAATGTAAGAATTTGTGCCTAACCGATTACTTTATCCTTCAACTGATTACTTTTTAATCA